TGATTACTTCTTAATAATATTCATGAAAAAATTGCGAGATGGCTTTAAAATCACTTTGATAGGGAGGCAACACACGTAAACTACGTGCAAAAATAAATTATTCAGATGCTGCAAATATCATCACATATGCAGTCAAAACAAAATTTTGCTCGATGTTTTTAAGATTTGCAAGCTGCAGAAACGGGCTGAAAAGTTCTTGGAATTGTTCAATCTGTTTGAATTAAAGATTCTAGTACCTCTGAGTTTTCCGCTCTTCCAGAGAATTTCTTCTTCCTCCTCTGACACTTGCCGAGCTTTGTTTGGGCGCTTACCGCGGCCAGCCAAGCGAAGCTGTTTTGCTTTGTCCTTCAACGGCCTCTTTGGACGAACTAAATTCTCGGTCACATACAATGGACAGGGTGCAGCCTTTGTCTATCAAGCGATGCCATCATTACTTTAAGGCTTTCTGGTCCATGATCTTTACCTTTTTTATTGTTTACATCGGCGTAGAAATGCTCGAGCAAAATGTTAAGCTCAGCAGGGTCATAATTTTCTATTTCATCAATAATTTCCTTATCTACGCACCAATTCCTCCAAACACGAGTCAAAAACCAGTGCTTTCGCAGTGTCTTCGTGTTTAGAGCAGTTTTCTGGTTCCTCTACAGTTGTTTCCGTCGCAAAAGCAAACGTGCTATAAAGCCAACCATTGAGGTTTTTGCTACAATCTGGTCCGGATCCAAATTTTGCGCCATTTAGATGGCGCATTTGATTGGCTCTCAGAGAGTTCCCTTGTTTATTAACCAATTAGAATATCACGTTTGTTACTCTTTTCTGCACTAAATTACGTTTTTTCTGCACTCAATTACCTTTTTTCTGCACCGTGTTACCTAAAAACTGCATTTCTCTTAGCCAATCACGATGGAGAAATTTTTTCATGTATATTATTAGTACGATTTTTTTTACTGCCAGCAAAATTTCTCTGATTATCTTGTGTTTTGATTTTTTTATAGAAATGCTTTAAACATCACAAACTTTGTGAAAGTCATGATTAATTAGTCTAACAGAACTTCGTGTCCTCTAATTCGGTCAGTAATCATACTTGTGACTTAACAAATCGCACTCCCGCTACACGGTTGTCTGATTTTGTTAGACACTTGTACGGTAAAATTGTAGACCGAATTGGACTTCTCTCAGTCTTACTGAAATAGTGAACCTACATGTTATTTGCGGAACCCCTAATTTAGAGCAAATTTTCAGTTGTTGATTGATTATCATGCTGACAGGTTCAGTTAAAAAATAAAAAGGAGATTTACTACCGAGTTCAAGTAGTGCCATGAGAGGCAACAAATGAAGCTAAGAATTTACACAGTTTTAGCCTGCATATAAACCGGATTTACTTAAACCTTCAATACTACATTAGGTAATTAACCAGGCTTACCAAGCTTTTAAGGTCTAAATTAAACCAAATTACTATTACGGTTTAGTATGGTGTGTAGAGATATCGAAGTCCAGCCAGTTCTTCAAGACACCTCCGGCGAAGATTTAAACAGATGATCTAATAAAACTCAGGATGCGAAGTTAGATATCCACGCACGTGGTTTCTGGGAACGCCATCGATCAGCATTCTTCGATGTGAGGGTCTGTCACCCTAATGCTGTATCGTATAAGGACCTAGAGCGACAACAAATTTATCGTATCCATGAGAACGAGAAAAAGCGTCTCTACTCAAGAAGAGTTCTGGACTCCAGGGGCGTAGCTAGGGGTCGTAAAAGGACCCAGGGGGACAACAAATTTAGCGTATCCGAGAGAAAGAGAAAAAGCGTCTCTACTCAAGGAGGGTTCTGGGCCAGGGGCGTAGCTAGGGGGGGTCCTGGGGTGCCCGTGACCCCCCCCCCCCTTGGTAGGCCTTCTTTTGAGCAAACAACCTACAATATTCAGGTGGCGAAAACGCCATGACAATATCTTGGCCGTAAAAGCCATTGTTGAAGAGCCCTCTTTTTTTAAATTTGTTTTTTTGTAAAGTATTTTCGTCAACGGCTCTTGTCTTTAGTTAATATGGGCCTTCATGCCGCGATAATACGACCGAGCCCACTGATACACAAGGGAGAGCAGCGGTATAAACCATATATAGTCGGCGATCCCTGGATGGTGACCCCCCCTTTGAAAAATCCTGGCTACGCCCCTGTGGACATCGAGCATGGAACATTTACACCTTTGGTCTTCACCACAACTGGCGGAATGGGAAAGGAGTGCTTGATGTATCATAGCCGTTTAGCACAGCTGATTGCCATATAAAAAGGGGAGCAGTATGCCAAACCATCTCATGGATCTGCAGACACCAGGCGGCGTATGTGAAGACGCAACTTCGCGAAATACTTATTACAACCTGCATTTACCTTATTCGGGTCCAAATTTTCACGCAGATCCTTTAGATTTTCGCAGATCCCATCTGTCATCTGTTGAAGGGTTTTGCATCCTTTGGTTGCAATGTTTGGATTGATCATCAAGGCAGTAACATCATCTACATCATCATCTTCTCGGATCTTGCGTTTTATGACCTCCATTGTCTCATCAAAAGGGACGCCGAGTGCGGGCAAAACGTCAAAGTAACCTAATCACAGTAAGCTTACTTTTTGATTAAGACTTCACCTTTTGCTAATATATAGATTTAGCCAGGGCTAAAAGCGAAGCTCTCGATAATATTTATAGTTTGTTCAAACAAAATATAAAATCGTGTAATGCTAAGCGGTGAAGGCAACGCAGGAGAACGGTGAAAAACAACAATAGGTCTAATTAGCAAAAAAAGCAACTTTGCACGTGCAGCACTCTTTTTTTGTACATTTCGTTGCCGTTGTTTTGAACGACTACAACGTGAAACTTCCAGAAACTTCTTAGTTACACGTTTTATTGACTATTTTCCAATTGCCCATAATACACTCTGTTTGCCCCCCAAATTTTGCATAACTTATTGTCTTAAAATGCTCTTGGGAAAATGCAATACTCCCAGGAGCATTTAAAAACAATGGTTTATGCAGAATTTGGGGGGCAAACAGAGTGTATTATGGGCAATTGGAAAATAGAGAATG